ATCATTAGCAAGTTTGTAATTAAATTGGCTCAATCTGTAGAGTTCATATTTAAAATGGCCATTCTCTCGTTTCTAAACTCAGGTTGTTCTCATTTGAGCGAGTTTGCTCTTATTTCAAAAGTCTCTTCTATAATTATGATTTCAGAGAAAGTGAGTTCCTACAATTTGTTATTATTGCATTTGCTACGATTTCATCATATATTTGGTTTTAATTCGACGTGTAAGTATGAACATGAGAGATCCTTCTGTTTTTTTTTTCTCTTACTATTTATGTAGAAATAAAGTAAAGTATATTACGTGTATGGTTGTAAAATAAAGTGTGAGTTAGATAAGGCATAAGTCACGTGTGAGTTAGGTAAAGAATATCTAAGGGAATATACTTTGTAATATTCCTTAGAGATTGTAATATAAATAGAGGTTTGGGTAGGCGTTGTAAACCAAACCAAGTGTGAGAGAAAACATAAGAGTCTTTGTTGTACCTTTCGAAATCAATATTCTTGATTTGTGGTTCTGGTTTTGAGTTGTAGTTAGAAGAGCTATATATCAAGTAAGCCCCGACCCTGAGTTAAAACTTAACAAGCAATGTTTTAGGCAGTAAACTATAGTATAAAATGAATTTTTTTCTTTGAAAAGTTAGTTGTAGTGTAATGGTTGAATTTGTTATAAATTTCAAGCCATAAATTTGCAATTTTTTGATGTTTTTTTTTAAAATGTGCTTCTTGATATGGGGATGTAGTGTCAAAAAGTTTTATTTGATTTAAGAATACACTTCGGACCGGCCTTGTATCAAATTTTCTGAAAAATGATCAAAAGATCTGTCAAATTCTTATACTGCAATCATTAAATTTCTGCCTTCGTCGTAAAATAACCATTGTCGTTTACATATGTAATACTAGAGATTGTCCACGCGTTGCGTGGATTTAAAAATTAACATGGTAAAATATGCAAAAATTCTAATTTATTGATTATTTGTGTATTTAATATTACAAAAATTGTTGTTGTAATAAATAATTATCTAGATTAGAAGATTAAACATTTGGAAAAAATTGATGGACATATACAATGTTGTATGTGAAAAAAAATAGATTGTTATTACAGCATATGCATATGGATGATATATTCTTTTGCACAAATCCGCAACTTGTATGTCTTTATAATTTATCAATATTCACTATGGTTCACTACAAAAATGATTGGTCATCTTTTTTCTTTCATCAAATACGTTTGTAAAATAAATATATTGATCAGATAAGTTGTAATATATTTTGCTTCTATCGAGACATTTGTTTTATCTCAACAGAGATGTTGGAATATATCTTTGTATTTTTTTTTCGTTAGAACCTTAAATTGTAAGAAAATAATAATTGATGTTTGATTGTATTTTTTTGTCTTACTCTTTTTATTGCTTTTCTACGATTTTTATCTTTCACAATGATTCATTTGTGAATTATTATGTTTTCCTAGATTCACAATTTGTGAAGGAGTAATGTTTCCTTTCGAGAGTATTGGTTAAGAGATGATTGACAACTTTAGCATTCTAACAACCTTAAAATTCCTAAAATCAATAATTAATTTTCTCACACTATTTTTTGTTAATGTTACGATTCTTTTTATTAAAACTTTTTGTTACTTTTTGTTTTATAATCGTAGTTACCTATCTAAAGTTTTAAATATTTTTATATAATATATTGATGGGTTTAACAAATAAAATATATATTTTTTAAACCATGAAAATTTTACAATAACACATTTAGTTTGGAATTATAATTTTTGGTGGATATCAAAAAACAAAAAAAAAACTGAAATTGGTCATCTTTATGTTACACTTTAATTTTTGAAATTAACTTACATTAAATTTAGCTATTAAATTGTAGGAATTAATTGTTAAAATTATTAAAAAACACTTAATTTTTTTCTTTTC